CTGCTGTGACCTCATCTGGACCCAACACAGCTTTCATCCCACAGCTGTCTCTGATTTTCCCCATAACACAAGATACATGGGAAAGAGCAGCACTACTGAGCAACAGGCAACATTTGAAGAGTGTGTTGTCTCCTTAAATACTGCTGCTCCTCACTAGCACTTGATGCCATTACTGAAATTCAGGTAAGTCACATCACCGTTTTGTTAGTTTTTGAACAAACAGCACCTCATTGGCATCAGACCATAGATRTGCTGCTAGAGATGTCCTTGTAGAATGGTCTGTTGTCTCTCTCAGATCCTTAGGATGCCCACCTTCATTCACCATCGCTCCAAAGACATAGGGATAAATCCCTGCAAACCAAGAATATCTGAATGTTTCATGTGTGGCAGTGGATGGTTTTCCTTAGCCGGGGTRAGCAATGTGATATTAGGTCTAAGTTTTTGYGTGAGTCAAACCATGACAATCAAGYTCTGCCAGGTATTAACTCTTAAAATACCTGAAAACAGAAATTAAAACCAGAAACAAACTCTTTTGTTACAGGCAGTGTTACTGGCAGTTACAGGCCRTGTTGAAGTTGGATCTCCACTGCCCTTATCCATGTTTAAAATGGCGCTCACAGCTCTGTTAGTGTTAAAGTGGCAAAGAATGCACACAGGAATTATTCAGTGTGGAAAAAGATGCGTCCACCAAATGGGAATTTTGCAATTCTGTGCTTCTCACTCTAGAGATGACAGGCTATCAGAGCACAAGGAACATCTCTCCAAGACAGTGACCTGAAGGGATGCGGCTCCCTCTGCTGGGCGTTCCTGCAGAGGTGAGGCACATCCCTGTAGCGATGTGTGATCAGCGATGCTGTTCAGAAATGTTATTTCACATGCATCAATTTGAATTTTTCAGCTTTACTAGAGCTAAACTCACTCCTCCAAACAATCTACTGTCCCATCCAGCACAGCYAGAAACATGCACAAAGAAACAGCCAAAGGGGCTTTTTCAAAATGACCTGTATATCCCAGGCAGCTTCCTCATACAATCAGTTATAAAAAAGATGATGATGCATTTGGTCTACATGGCAGGGTTTTGGTAGCAAGGGCACTGCAGGGTTACCTTATGTAAGAAGATGCCAGAATCTGTCTCCGTGGTGGTAGTAGGCAGTTCCAGCCAGCTTCTAGATGGCCCTGCTGCTGGCCAAAGCTGAGCCCACTGGTGATATTGGTAGTGCCTCKGCGATTCAGAAACACTGTGCAACAGCAGCTGTGAAAGAGTGAGAATATGTGAGAGAAAYGCCCTGCAGATTCCACACGCAGTGAAGATGGAGGGGAAGGAGGGGCTCCAGGCAGTGGAGCAGAGCTTCCCGTGTGGTCTGTGATGACATGTGCTGTCCACAGTGGAGCAAGATGTGAGGTAGGGAAGGAAGCACCAAGAGGRAAGGRGAWGAGMTGATCCTCTTTTCCAYGAGTTAGCAGGCAAAGTCAATTATTTAAATAAAAGGCAGTCACTCACCCAAGAAG